GGCCGGAGCCCCTCCGGCCTCAGCCGCTCCCTAAGCAGCCAAGGAAGAGGGAAGGAGCTTCCACAGCAACACAGTGGTGACCAAAAAGGAATTCCTCAGCTCCCTTCTGTCCCCTGGGGGGGTTTCACCTCCTCTCCCCACGTGGGTGTGATTTACACACACACTTACGTTCCCCCTCCCCACCGCTCGGAACCGGCAGGGCTTGGCATTCCCTTGGGAAAGCTGGAGATCAGGGATGCCAGGAGTGCCTCCATGTTGCTGGTGGGAAGTCCTTTCCCCTTTGGCCTGCTTGCCTTGCAGAGCTCCACGCTGGTTTCCTTCCTCTTGGTGCTTTGAGCTTTGGCTTCTCCCGGGAAGGGTAAAATAATCCAGGTTTTAGGGTGGGGGCAGGAGCTGAGCTTTAGGAAGAGGCACAAGCCCACTCTGGGGTGATTTAGTGTTTTGGGGTCTCTGGGTAGAGCAAAGCACCGAGCTGAGATGCCAAACCAGTGCTTGGAGCAGAGCAGGAGAAGCAGGGAGGGGCAGGAATGGCAACCGTGTTCCCTTGGGATATCTGGTCCTGACGGCCGGGGCTGCCCCGCTAACTTATTACAGGAAATATTGATCCGTGTGAATGAAGCCAGGAGTGAATCAATTGGAATAAAACCACTCAATGGTAGGAGTTTTCTTGCTCCAGTTTTTACCTTTCCTTTGCCTTTGGAGGTGGTAGTTGGACCTTCCCTCTGAGTAGTTCGGTGCCGTAGCCAACTGAGGAATAAACCCCCATTTTTAGTCCCTCTTTTTGGAGCATATACTTTGTACTTTTTAAAATGAAGAAAACAGGAAAAAAAAAAAGATAAAGTAGGTAGCGAAGAAGTGCTAGAATTTGGGATTGGGTTGGGATGGCTGGGATGGGAATGCCAGAACTACCTCCTGCGGACAGCCGGGGCGGGCAGCGGAGCTGGGGACAGCTGGGGCCACCTCCCACGGGGCTGGAGGCTGGGGAGGGAACAGCCTCACCAGGCAGACCTGGGAGCACCTGGTGAGACCTCCAGGCTGCCAAAACTTGGGAGAAAAATCCTGCAAAAAATCCTTCTCTGCCTGTGGTTTGGGTTCTCTGCCCTCGTCCTGCCCCGGGAGGGTTTGGGGTTCCCTGCCCAGGGCCCGAGGCTGCTCCTGGATTGGAAGGGTGGCTTTTGGCCCTGTGGGGGGCTGTGAGGATGGGCTGGAGGGAGGCTCCCAAAAATTCTGGAGCCTCCAGAACCGCTTCCAGCATTTACCAAGGAAGGATTTGCCGGGTGCTCCCAGCACAGACCCCGCGGTGCCTCGCAGGGAGCGGGGCCCGCCCGCCTCCCCTCCCAGTCCAAGGCTTCCTCCCCCTCCAGGGTCTTTGGGTGAGCATGGGATTCCTGGGGCAGCCCTTAGTCCAGTTTAGAGTAACCTCAGGTTGTTTTTAGCGTGATCAATACCAGGGATCCAGGGGGAGACTATTTTTTACTGTCCTAGTGCTGATCCTGCCGAGGACCTGGATCCCAACACTGTTTTGTTTCTGTACAAATAATCCTTGTGCCGACTTTTTCACCTGATCTCTGTATAGGGCCCGTTTGATTCCTGCAGCAGCCACCCAATTTTGTGAAATAAAAGCAAAAAAAAAGCGGTTTTTGTACAAAGCTTGTGGAGTTTGTGGAGTCTCCTTTGCCTCTGTGTGCAGGATGAGCTGGGAATTGGGGTGATCCGGGGCTGTTCTGGGGCTGAATCGGAACTGCAGCGGAACAACCACAAAGCCTGAGCTTGGAGGAGACACCGACACCACGCAGGGAGGGGAAGGCTCTTCACACACTCAGAGCTGCTGCCTTGGAAAGGCTGTTCAGGTTTTCAGAGCCTAATGAATGCAGAGGAGGTGCAGCAGCAGCCCAGGCCCGGCAGGACCGTGGCTGTTTGATTCCTGCTTTCCTGCTGGCTCCGGCTCGTGCTCCCACTTGGATCACACTTGAAAGGAGAGCTCTGAAGTGGCAGGTTGGAAGGGGAGAGGGTTGGGCTCACTGACCTGGAGGGGTCCCACTGCTCCTCCACCCACTCCTCTAATGGGTTCATTCTGATGCTCTTCCTTCCTCTCCCACCGGGCTCTGGAGCTGCCAGGAGGGTTTTCCTTTTTGATTAAACTGCAACCAGAATCCAGGTTGGATTATATTCCAGCCATTCCTGCTGCTTCACCCAGGGAGAGCCTTTCCCTTGGAAGAAGAAGCACCACTTTCCAGGATCCCATAATGCCCACAGTCCCCAATTCCCTGAGAAGGAAAACCCCTGGGTCCAGGACACCCCACAGAAGCCCCATCCCCAACTGGGAATTCCTCCTTGGATGGCCAGGGGTCTCCTGCTGAACATTCCCTCAGTGGGCTTCTCAGTGCTGCTCCCACACAGGGCAAGGAGGAGAGGGAAGGAGCTCTTGGATCTTTGCATTCCAGCAAGGCTTGTGCCTTGGGATCTCACCCTTCCCACCTGTGACAGGGCCAGCAGTGGTTATTTTCCCTCCTCTCATCCTGAAGACGTTTTTCCTGAGGGATGCACAGAACGTGGTAAATCACAATGACAATTTTTTCACAGTTTTTTCTATTTACAGCCTCCAAAGCTTCGTGGTCGCAGCGGCTGCTGAGGCTGAACTGGGCTGGGCAGTGCTGGGAGTGAGGGAGCAGAGGTTTGGAGGAGCTTTGGGAAACCAGTTCCAGGAATGCTGGTGGGTGAGAGGCTGGACCTGCCCCAGCCCAGAACCCTCCCTGTGCCCTGGGCTGATCCCACAGAGGGGCAGGGGGGGATTCTGCCCCTCTGCCCCCTCAGCTGAGACCCCCCTGCAGAGCTGCCCCAGCCCTGGGAACAGCAGCAGGAGGACGTGGAGCTGCTGGAGAGAGTCCAGAGGAGGCCCC